TCCTGCACCTCAGAGGACACGATATGGTATATAAGGACCAGGGTCCTCCACCTTGGAAGACTTCCTCAGCATAAGCAGCACTGTGGCCCACAGCAAGTCCATACAATTATGTCCCCGCGGGCCCCACGTGGCCCAGTCCTGGCAGGTAGGCCTGCTGGCCTGTCTTTTCTAAGGAGAAAATTGACAGCATTGAGGTTCCAGAGGAACGGGTAGGAGGCACCTCCTTTGGGCAGGTCTCCACCAATCTCACTTTTTTAGCAAACCTTCTTCTTTTTTTTAATATTTTATTTATTTATTTGAGAGAGTGAGCAAGAGAGAGCACGAGCGGGGGGTGGGGGACAGAGGGAGAGGGAGGAGCAGGCTGCCTGCTGAGCAGGGAGCCTAATACTGGGACCCTGAGATCATGACCTGAATCAAAGGCAGACGCTTCACCGACTGAGCCAGCCACACGCCCCATAGCAGATCGATGTTGAGTGGCATTGTATTTAGGATAAAATGCCTGGAAGCACCTGGAGGGCCGCTTCTCAAGGTTATCATTCAGCACAGAGAAGGAGACTTGGCAGTTGGCTAAACTTGGAAGTAGGAACAGAAGGCTCTATGTGAAGGTCGTGGTCCAACGGGATGGGCGAGTGAATTCAAAGCCACCGACCTCCGTCCAGCAAGGAGCCAAAGGTCCAAGGGCAGTCTGGATCCGCCTCACACAATACTTTTGGATCCGCAATGACAGATGGGCCAAAGGGTAATCAATACTGCCAAGCCATATGCCACAGCATGTGACTGAAAATTTGGGGCTGGAAAAATATTAAAAGAGATTATAATCAAATGCCTACCTTTGATATTAAGAAACCATCAACAAAGCAACCATTGAATGCCTAATTTGAGCAGCAGAATTTAGTAATGGCCCCTGCGGGTTAAACTCAGTGCAAAATGTAACTGAATGAGGTGGCTTTCTGTTCTGTTATGAGCTGTGAATCCATTAAAAGGTCTGAGGAGGTCAGCCAGAAATGATGAGCTTGGATTTATGACAATCAAGCTGCAGCCCTTCTTTCTGGCAATAACGGAGCTAGTGATCTGTTAAGGTTACTTGTAATCTGTGATAGGAAAACTATTTTATCTGCATACATGAAAGTGCTTCTTCCTGACTTCCTGGCAGGGGTGCTGTGTCCAACTCATCCAAAAACATCAGTTACTCATTAAGTATAAAAAAAAAAAAAAAAAAAAAAAACAAACAAGCAGATGGGCCAGAATCGTTAGGCCCCAGATAACCAGCTGGCTCCTTCTTGCCCTTCGGGTCTCCTTTCAAATCTGCCCCCCCACAGGGAGCTTTCCTGTCTCAGCGACCTAAAGGGGTCCCAGGGCCTCATTTGCCAGCTCCTGCCTTATTTTCATCAGGACTCTTAACAGGACTTAACACCTTCTTGTTTATTGATATGCTCAGCATATAACCTCACTAGATCACAAGCTTTTTAAGGATTGTACTGAATTGAACGGATATATTCGCATCCTAATCCCCTGAATCTGTCACTGTTATCTTATTTGGAAAAGGAAAAAAGTCTTTGTAGATGTAATTAAGTGAAGAATCTTGAGATGAGGAGACCATCCTGGGTAATCTGGGTGGGTCTTAAATCCTAAAACAAGTGTCCTTATAAGGAAAAACAGAGGGAGATTAGACACAGAAGGGGAGACAGGGTGAGCAAGAAAGCAGAGAGCAGGGTGATGGGGCCACCAGGCAGGGAATGCCAACAGCCACCGGAAGCTGGAAGAAGCAGAGAATGGACTCTCTCCCGCATGCGCCCCCCTCCCCACCCCCCCAAAGGAGCACAGCCTTGCTGATACCTCGATGTCAAACTCCTGGACTCCAGAACTGTGAGAGCACTAAATTTCTGGAAAGCCACCAAACGTATGGTCACTGTTACGGCAGCCCCAGAAGCCTAATGGAAGGATGGAGGCTTGCTTGCCTCTTTGACAATGTAAGCAGGTATCTAAAAGGCTGGCTTGTACATAGTAGGTGCTTAATAAATGTTTGGTGCATGAATGAGAAAAAGAGCACTTCAGAGGCTCTGTGGGCAGGCCGTTCTGGGTTTAAATCTCAGCTCTGCCACGAGCCGCCAAGAGGCCCGAGGCTCATCTTCTGGAGACCTGGTGTGCTGGTCGGCAGTATGGGCAGGAATACCCACCCCGAGGGGTGTCAGGAGGGCAGAGTGAGGTCACTTATGTAACACCCTGAGCAGGGTGCTTGGGCCATACAGCATTGAGTCACCAATAGGGAAGAACCACTCGTGGGTTATTCTTTCATGTTCCTTATGGCTGACTTGCCCCCCCCGCCCCCCCCCCCCCAGTCCGTCTCCAGCCTTATCCATTTACGCGGGATTCGTGGTTGATGACGAAACAGCAGCTTTGGTCAGCTCCCACTCCCTGCCAGGGAAACCAGGGCCTCCAGGCCGGCCAGCAGCTTGGCTTGCCTTAGCCACATCTGGGGCTCCAGAGACAGAAAATACGTGTACTGATGTGCCCACAGTCACCCAGATGTCAGATACCTAGTGCTTGCGGACGGACAAAACACGGAACTGGGTCAATGTGCAATTAGCCTACCTCGTTCAGAAATCACATCACTTCCCACCCCACGCGCACACACGCTTCTGAGTAAAAACCGGTCGGCTAATGTTTGCTCAGTGACATGACTTGAAATGACAAGAATCCTGCAGATTGCAGGAATGACTTTTCTTCTCTTCTTTTCACAAAGCGTTTCTTAAGCCCCTTAAACAGGCTGCTGTCTGCTCATTGCAGACCCTTCCCTTGCAACCGAGCCTCCGGTGAGTCGGTGGCATTGCCAATAGATGACCCCCGAAGAGCACTTACTCCTCGGGGCCCCACGCTGCCTCCTTCACAAACTATCTCACTTAATCCTCACAACAACCCCGTAAGAGAGGTACCATATCGCACCCATCTTCGGTGGAGGAGAAAGGCTCAGGCAGGCGAGGTTACGAGAGAAACTGGATTTCCAAGGCAGAAATTCAACGTTGACTTTAACTTTGCCTCCTATCTGAGATCGGGTCCCGGCAGCACAGCGGAAATGAGATTCGAGTGCAGGAGGCCTGGGGGCTGTGCTCTCAGAGTGACCCCTTGCATCACGGCCCGAGGTGGGCGAGGCAGAAATGCTCCCAGCCCTCTGCTACAGACACACAGAATCGTGTGGTCTTCCCCGAGGGCAAGCTGGCAGTAAGCGCCAAAAGCTGTAAAAATAGCTCAGCTCGTCAATCGTGATGCACCGTAGAGCTGTTTGTTTCATTTTTACACCACAAAAATGTTGCTTTTATAATCAGGGGGAAAATCAGTGATGGTAGAATCTCTCCCCCATATTCTGATTCCAGGCTTGGGTTTAATCGCAGCACCTCCACTCCCTAGCGGTAAGACCTTGGACAAGTCACCTTCGCTGCCTGAAACCAGTCCCCGTGTCTTTAAGGAAGTACTACTAATAATACTGACTTCATATGGAATTTCCGTGAGGATTCCATAGGTTAAAATTGCAAAGCACTTAAAAACAGTGCCGGGCACAGGGTAGGTGCTGTGTAAAGGTTAGCTACTTTCCTTATTATTATTCAGACCTAGAGACCCATTTGGGGTCACTGGTTCCTCCTGAGTCTGATTTTTGCTCGTGAGAACAGAGGTCCACGTGGTTCCCGCACCTGGGACGGTCCCCGATCTGCCCCTTCTGATTCAGGTCTCCTCTGCTTTGTGTCCCCTCCAGCTCAGACACCCCTGTCACGCTGGGTAGGTCTTACTCAACCGCTGAGCCAGAGCACTGACCCCGGGAGGTCAGGATGGGGTTGGGGACCCAGTTAGCCCCGAGTGAAAACAAGTGGTCTGTTGCAACATAGCATGAAACCAGCTCGGAGAGGAGGAAGTGATCGTGTTTCAACCAGATAGAAATGAGTTTGTGTCGAGAAATCAGCCTGTTCGGCAAAATCTCACTAAAATCTTGATACCGTGTCATTGCTTTCCCAACAGTGAACAGATAAGCACGTTTGGTGTTCTCACCACCCCCTCCCTGATCTTTAGGGAGGCCCCACCAATAGTCTAAATAAATCCTTGACAAAGCATCACTTTCTCTGCTGCCTCTGTGGAAGAGCCGAAAAGGTCCGGGTCAGACACCCGAGCTGTTCCTTCCTCCTTTCCATTTACCACTTTGTTACTGCCCCTTTGTGGACCTTAATTTCTCCCTCCAGAGACTGGAGGGAGGGGTGACCCATTCACAGGGCTTGGGGGAACTAGAATAAGATAATACATGCAAAGAACCCCCAAAAATACATGTGTAATAAGCTCTACACAAATGCAAGTTAGTAACATTAAATAAAAAGACGCATCCTATGTGGATTAAATACCACCAGACTGTGGCAGAGCCACCCAAATCCACATGTTCCCCTTGTGTCCCAGCCCCCTGGCAGCCTGGGGGGGAACATCTGACCGGTTCTAGCCAGTGGTAGGAGAGTGGACGTGACCTACATCACTTCCTGGCCAGCAGTTAACTCTCCAGGGCCTCTCCCGACCCTGATGACCTCGGAAGGCCACACGCTGGGATCTTGGCGTATCCCTAACGCCAGGTCCCTGAATCACGCTGTGACCTTCACTAAACAAATAGCATGAGTGAGAAAGAAGCCTGTGTTTTGGGAAGCCACTGAGATCTCAGGATTGCATTGTTACTCTAGCAGAACCTGCTTTTACTCCACCGACGCAAGTGGGAAAGGAATGTGACATGGATTTCTTTTTCTGAGAAATCCAAATCAAATGAAACTCTAAGCCCCCTTTCCTGTTAGGTCGGCTGGACATTTAATCTAAGTCATCATGGGAGCCCTTTTTCCCAAAAGGCTCTCAGGGTTGGGGGAACGTGCTTAAGGTCGCAGGTGGTGGAACAGGTAAGGAGGACCTGCTAGTCCTTGTTCATCACCTGGGCTTGTGCAGGTGCCCCACGTTGGGGGGGGGGGGGGCAGGGGAGAGGCAGGGAGGCTCTGTTTCATCTGTGCCAAGCTCAAGCACAAGCGTAGGATTATTTGCTGAGGTGGGTTCCTGGTACCTGAAACGCACCTTCCTAAGGCACAACACACAGTCACTTTCCACCACCCTGGGTCACCCCCAGGAAACAGACCAGACTCATGACCCCAAGCCAACTTTCCTTTCCTAAGCAGCTTACGGACTCTGCCTACTTCCCTCAAAAGTTTGTGCTTCGGTAGGCACGTCCTACAGTCTGTCAAACTCCCCTGTTCAGCGTATCCCTTCACTGAGTTTAGGCTTTCCAAAAAATCAAAAATCAAAAAAGCCAGAGAAGGAGTGGGGTAGCCTGTCTAAATGTCTCCTTCTTCCTCAATCATAAACACCCCTTCTGAGACAAGGAAACTCAGAAGCCCACCTACCTGCTCAGAACAGGGGTGGGGAAAATTCCACAAGAACAAAAAACACATTAATATCTCAATAAATTATCCTACCACATGGGTCATTGCTCGTGCCGAGGAGGAAAATAAGCCAAGATCTGCAATCACTCTCTCAGTTTGTAAATCAGATGGAAAAAAAGAATGCCATGCAAGTTAGCCCTAGCTCACAGGCCAAGGACTTGAAAGAATTTCATCTGTGGCTGAGCCACAAGGAAACCGGCCTGCAAACCATGAAAATATGTGCCCCCAGCCTAAACCCCGATTGCAACCCCTTGCAGTTAGATCTTCCCACATTCAGACCTTTTTATCCTTCAAATGCTCGCACCTGTGTGATAGGAAATAAGGCAGAGCTCAAACGTTTTTGAAAATAAGTATGTTCTGATCGACCTTTGATTATCAGAGGACCCCGGGTGTGGATTTTTAAGGTTCCTCCTTTTTCTGGGTCCCCTCCAAAGACTGCATTTAGACCACATTTCTGTCTTCTGCAGTCAGGAAAACAGTCCAAGAAAGAGAAGACCCACGACCACCCAACGTCAGTATCATTTGCTAACAGCGTGTGTGTGTGTGTGTGTGTGTGTGTGTGAGAGAGAGAGACGTGTATGAATGCATAGTATGTGCGTGTATGTGAGGCATCTGTCTGTTTATCTGGGGACGGCACAATCGGAGGATGAAAAGAACCAAAATTATGACATTTCAATGGATCCGTACTGCATCTCTTGCAGGTAACAGGTGTGTTAGCATTTTAGACACGTGCTTGTGAGGCTGGGAGAAGTCTGACAGCTCAGTGAATGCTGACTCACATTTGGGGTTTTCTTTTTTTTAAACCATTAAGTAACATTTTTAACTTTTGCTGCGCAGAAGATATAGGAGGAGTGTGGGAGGCCCCGAGGAAGACTTGTGCGCTGTCTATGGAAAATACTAAATTGCACAGAGTCCAGAACCCATCCCAGCAATTTTCAGGTCATCATCAGAGGATTAAGTGCTTTATTTGCTCGTGATTCTGTGGTTCCAGCCCAGGGTCGCTCCACATCATCACTACTGACGTTTGGGGACGATTTTCTGTTGTGCTCAGCTCTCCTATGTACCGTAAGGTGTTTTAGCAGCGTCCCTGAACGCTCCCCTCCCCCCGCCAACTCGATTGCAAAAAGGTCTCTAAGTATGGCCACCTCTGAGGGGTGAAATGGCCTCTCATTGAGAAGATCTGGTCTTCGCCAGAGGCAACAGTCCTATGGAAAAAATGGGCGACAGCTATGGGGCCCCTGCTCTATGAATCATCACATCATGTTTGGGTGGAGGGGTTCCTTGGTCCAGTATTAATCTTTAATGTTTCCCAAATGTGTCATGTGCGCCATGGAGTCCAGGGGGTGCCGACATGTGCTGTGAACAGGAAGGGATCTTGGGACAGGAGGGCTGGCTGCAGGACTTCCCAGAGCCTTTACTGTCTTCCCACCACTGTGACTCGCCCGGAGAGGTTTCAGCGTGCCGCTCTTTCCAAATTTCTTTGTGTGCAACCAGTGATGTTTGTGAGTCGTCCTGGTGCTTAGCTCTACACCCAGGCCTAGAATCTGGGAAACGTAGCCCAGATGGAAGGTATCTGCAGGTTCCCTGACTTGAGTCTGGGGATCCCAGAGACCAGGGATTGCTCTTGCCTTCCTCTCTAGAGTGTCCAGTCTACTCACATCTTCGGCGATCGGTCTTCAGGTTGTTATGAAGATAGAGAAGTGGGTTTCCCACTGAGGTCACTGTCTCAGCTCCTGGAATGTCCCTCCTCATTGCCACGGATGTCTAGCCATCCAAAATCAACAAGGTCTGCCCAAAATGGATAAGTCTAGCCACTTTGATAAGATCTGTATTTTTTTTCACACTTTAGAGCATGAGGACCAAGGGTTTCTTATTTTATCTCAGATTCCCACATCAGTTAGGCAAGTCCTTTCATGCCTAAGTTCCCAACTGCACGTAGCTAACGTCTTCTGTGGTACCTGCCACCAGGTGTGAAGGATGTGTGCAGTGATGCCCTCCCTACCTGGATGGGCCTCCTGGATGCATCTGTGGGCCTATGCATCCCTCTCCCCGGGAAGGAGCCTGCGGAGTGATCAGCGAGCCTCGCTCAGAGCCCCGCTACGAGGAGCCAGAGGGTGGTAAATGGCCCGGGAGGCGACAGGCATCCAGAGTGGTGACGAGGAGATGCCCTCAGAAGGCAGTCGGTGAGATGTGTGTCCCTGCTCTGCAGCTGCCCCTCACCAGCCTGGTGACCCTGAGGCAGCTCCACACAGGTCCCTAACTCAGGTTGGACTCCTCACCCATGAAATGGGGCTAACATGGACCTGCCTCGTTGGGTAATTGGGTGGTTGTGACAAGGAATGAGCTGGTGGTTGTGACAAGGAATGAGCTAGGGCTTGTGAAGCGGCGGGCACAGAGCGAGAGCTCCCTCCTGTTGACCGTTGACCACCATATGCAAGAGCACCAGGGGGCGGGGGGTGGCGAAGGGCGCTGGCCACAGGTGTGAGGGGCTGGCTCTCAGGAGCCACAGGGCAAGGTCACAGCAGCCCGGATTTGGATCTGGCTGGGCGCCCCCTTGTTGCCTGTCGCTGGGCTGTCGTGTCTTTGTGGGGGCTTGTTTCATTGTCTGGCCAGAGCTGGTTAAAGAGTCTACTACGCGGGCGCCTGCGTGGCCCAGTCGGTTAAGCGACTGCCTTTGGCTCAGGTCATGATCCTGGAGTCCCGGGATCGAGTCCCGCATCGGGCTCCCTGCTCGGCAGGGAGTCTGCTTCTCCCTCTGACCCTCCCCCCTCTCATGTGCTCTCTCTCTCTCATTCTGTCTCAAATAAATAAATAAAATCTTTAAAAAAAAAAAAAGGAAATCTGACTTGAGGGGCACCTGGGTGGCTCAGTCGGTTAAGCGACTGCCTTCGGCTCAGGTCACGATCCTGGAGTCCCGGGATCGAGTCCCACATCGGGCTCCCTGCTCAACAGGGAGTCTGCTTCTCCCTCTGACCCTCCTCCCTCTCGTTCTCTCTGTCTCTCATTCTCTCTCGCAAATAAATAAATAAAATCTTAAAAAAAAAAAAAAAAAAAAAAAAAACAAGAGTCTACTACGCAACCAGCTTTCAGAATTCGGGATGGAATGGACAAGTGGTACCTTTCTCCAACCGATTAGCAGCCACCTCCCCCAGTGCGAGCTCCTGGGCACGGGAACGGTGCTTCCTGAGGGGACGCCCCCTGGACTCGCTCTCAGGAACCGCAGTGCCGAGAACCCCTCCAGGGCCGGTGGTTTCCGTTGGTGGATCATCGGCTGTGCCTGCCCGGGGCTGCTGGTATTAGCACTGCGAGAAAAAAAAACAACCACAACCTGGGTGGTTTAAAACATCAGAAACTTATTTTCTTACTTTTCTGGAGGCCAGAAGTCCAAAGTCAAGGTGTGGGCAAGGTCAGGTTCTCGCGTAAGGCTCTAGGGGAGAACTCATTTCTTGCCACTTCCAGCTTTGGTGACTCCAGGTCCCTTCACTCTGGGTTCTGCCCCTGTGGTCACATTGCTTCCTCCTCCTCTCTCTGTCTCCTCCGCCGTGTGTCCCTCTTACAAGGATTCTTGTGATGATATGCTGGCAATCCAGGATCATCGCCGCCTCTCCGGATCCCCAACTTAATCACTCCTGCAAGTACCTTTGGTCATATAGGGAAATGCTCACAGTTTCCAGAATTAGGATGTGGGTATCTCTGGGGGAGTCATTGGTTAGCCTACCACAGGAGCCATCCTAGGGAAGGTAGACCAGAGCTCTTGCTTTTGCCCTCGTGAGCAGAACTCAGGTAACTGGGAAATTAAGCAGCTCTTGTGTAAAATTTTTCACAGTCCTCCTTCCCCCACCAATGTGAGGCATACAGACCCCACTGAAAATGGACTCCCAGAAATCATAGTAATAATAACTCACATAGATAACGATGAATTTATTTAATCTTCACCCAAATCACATAAGCTGGGTACATTTACCATCCCTACTTTTCAGGTGGAGTGAGGCACAGAGAGGTCAGGTAACTTGCCGCAGGTCACACAGCTGTGAGTGGCAGAGCCAGGACTCAGGACTAGGGACTTGCCTCTCCACCCTCCCCTCTCTCTGGATTTGCAAACTCATCATTAACTTACAGACACAGCAGCCTCACCACCTGTCACCTACCCCTAAAAATCAAGCTTTGATCCACGAGCTAATGGAAGCAGATATTCCTTCCGAGCTGAAGGACAGACTCTGGGGGTGAGTGCATTTCTGTCTTGGGAAGTGAAACGAGGAAATGAGGAGCAGTGGGGAGGTCACTTTGGGGTCTGCGGCTCCGGGTCACCACTATTACAGCTCCCGTGGGCTTCCCTTGGCCTCCAGGGCACAGAGATGAACGGATGAGGGGGCAGATGAGTAGAGAGGAACAAAATGGGAAATAGGCTCGTTGAACCCATGGGACCAAGCGGCAGGGAGACATCAGTCAGCAGCCCGTGACCCGTGTATATGATGAGCCACAGGGTTTTGATGGTGAGTCAAGCAGTCTGCTGAAGGCTGGTCATTCTACATAATTCTATAGTGAGCTCATGGCGCCAGCAGGAGCTCAAGGCTTGGGTCTCAGAAATCAAGTCCATTCGAATGGTGAACAGAAAAAGCCATTTCCAAAAGCCCACGCCCTTCTTGGCCTCAATCACTTCTGCTCGATGCTATTGTTCTGATGTTCTCACACTCAGCTACTGGCCAAGCGAATCGAGAAGATCCAGTAGATAAAGCCCCTAAAGACTGCCCTAAGATAACGTGCTTGAAAGTGACATGTTAGGTGCTAAGTAAATATTTCTGGGTTGTGAATTGCATACTTGCCTGTCTGAGGCAGATTTACCATGATGACGATAAAGCGTCAGCCAGGGTCCCCGACTTACCCGGTGGGTGCTGGGAGCCTTAGGGTGTGGAGGAAAGCTAGCTAGGGAGGGAGCCAGGTCGCAGTCAAGACGTATTTCTAGGTAAACATGGAATCTCAGAAGAAAGGGATCTAAATCCTCAAGGCACTCTTAATTTGTTGATATCTCTTATTTTAAATAAATAGCCACTCTCGTGCCTAATTTTGTATTCATAATTTTGTACTCTCTTTTTTTTTTTTTTAAAGATTTTTTATTTATTTATCTGAGAGAGAGAATGGGAGACAGAGAGCATGAGAGGGGGAGGGTCAGAGGGAGAAGCAGACTCTCTGCCGAGCAGGGAGCCCGATGCGGGACTCGATCCCGGGACTCCAGGATCATGACCTGAGCCGAAGGCAGTCGCTTAACCAACTGAGCCACCCAGGCGCCCCTGTACTCTCTTTCTTAAAAAATGGTCCTCCAAATGTGTGTCAGGCCCCACTCAACCTGGATCCTTCTTGGTCACAGGAGATATAGAAAAATCCAAAGAAGCATTTTCCAAACTCATTACCACCACAATAAACAACTCTGAATAAACGTTCTTTCTAAGACCAATGTCAAGGATAAGAATACCGAAACAGACATATGGATCAAGCAGGTGCACAGATTTAAATGGAAAGCCAAGTCCCATAGGCTCACTATAATGCTTTTTAAATTTTCTTCCTCACAGAGTGCTTTTGGAAATTTATAAAACGAGGAAAACCAACCTTCTAAGTTCCGCTCTAACAGAGATCAAAATCTAGTGCAGTTCCCGTGTTCAAGAAATCCCCCTACCAAGTTTTCATACTAGTATTTTGGAGCCTGATGGCATCTTTGCAGCAGGAAACTTGTTCAGACATCTTGGAATCGTTATTTATAGAGCATTTACTGTGTGTACAGCACTTTGCCAAATACTGAGGCGGAAGCAAAAGCAATCCAAGGCAGATCCTTCCCCTTGAGAAATGTAGAGCTTCTTAGTTGGGAAGATAATAACGTGACTCTGAAATATTTCACTCTCGCTCTTTCTCTCTGATGATGCCGTGGCATGAGGACTACCACACTGAGTTTCCAACAGAGAGGATTTTGCCTGGGTGCCTGACAACCCCATTCCCACCTCCCTCCCTCTGTTTGGGATCCTGGGTGCAGATGGCCAGGGCTCCGCGAACTTCCAAAGATCATCCGTCCTAGCTCAGGTGATGGAGCAGGAGGGGGAGCCCCGTCATGCCTCTGCGCCTGGCACAGCAGCTTCTAGAATTGCTCAGGAATGAACAGCTCCAGGAAATGAACAGGAATTCAAGTAGTTAGAAAATAATTAATGGATTATCACCAAATTCCTCTGCAGGGGACCTCAGTGTGAGCTTTCACAGCAGAAAAGAGAGTGTCATTTCTCATTACAGCTTCATAACCACCAAATTTAGCAAAATATAAATTCTGTGGTGCACAATTGAAATCGCTATGCTTGAGAGGGCTTGGCATCACGGCACTGCTTTTGGAAGGGAATTTGTGTCCAGATGCCAAAAGGAGACTTGTTATTTCAGCAGAAAGGACAGAGGTTATTTCCCAAGACCAGCTCAGTCTGCCCTGATGCAGGAGAAGCAGGAAATTTAAAAGATGACACAGTTATTAAGAAGGAAGGATGGCAGGTAGAATGTCTGGAGATTTTAATATTATAGCAAACATGTGATATCCAAAAAGCATGCAGATCACCTTCTCTTGAGTAAGCGTATGATTTCTATTAACAGTCCTTCCAGAAAAATACAGTAGGTAGTGCTTACAGAGCTGTGCATCCGCTATGTGTGAGCTAAGGAGCACTTCCACACACTCCACAAAGATTTCTTAAGCACCTCTTATGCGCCAAATGCTGAGGATCCAGTGTCAAGAAGAAAACAGAAAAAGACTCTACCTTCGTAGCGCTTGGGGCTGATAAACACAAGCAAGTGTGAAATTGTAAGAGTGACATGAACAAAGGAGAAGACATAATACAATGGAACACAGAGGTAGGGACATGGCACCCGTCTAGGGTCAATGCAGACCTTCAAGGAAGGAAGCTGGCGGCCAGATGAGAAGGATTTAGGCAAAGAGGGAATGAACCAGTGCCCCGGACAGAGCAGATAGCATGTTCCAAGTCCCTGCGTTGGGACGGATCAATACCCTCGTGATTGGAGTAGAGAAGCATGGCTTTAGACCAATGTCATCCGATCAGACTTTCCATGATGTTGAAAACGTTCTATGATCTGCACCATCCGCAAGAGTAGCCGCTAGTCACGTGTGGCTACTGAGCAACTGAAATGTGACCAAGGAACCAAA